CGAGTTGCCACGTTCCAAATACCACACAATGGTACACAAGAAGATGAGTGAAGAGAATCAATACAGTTGACAAGTATAAGAGCGAAACAGAATGGGTAATGGTAGAAAGGAGGAATATGAAAGATTACAGAGACTGAATACATCTGAGCTGGACATTGACAACGATTTTGAGCCATGTCACCTATTGTCTCCAGCCATTGATTCCTAGAGTCCCGAGGACCCCAACCCGGGAGTCTGCATCTCCCTACCTGACTCAGTTTAACTGTCGAGGATTTCATGGATTGATGAGGCCATGTTTTTGTTTGGCCACCACTGGCTCTTTTCCAACCTGCACCACCTATATCACCTAGTAAAGCCCGTCGGGGGAGGCGGTGGTTAGGCATGCGCAGCACGTGACCTAGCCATCTCAATCTATGTAACTTTATAGCCTCGTCGATTGATTTTCCCTCATTGCCCAACACTCTACGCCTAACGTCAACATTACTTATCTTGTGAAACCACCTAACGTGAGACAGGGATCGCAGACATCTATGATCGAAAGCAGTTAACCTTTTCATGTCTTCAACGCGTATTGGCCATGTTTCAGAGCCATAGAGAAGGACGGAGTGTAGTTATTACACGCATATATTAGTTTCAATAATTGAATGAAGCCAGATCAACAGTAGTTTGTGCAGCATAAAATTGATACCATCATTTTGTGTATTCCATCGGCTTCTCATTAGCTAATCCTCTACAGCCTAAATTTTCAAATGATATCAGTTGACACGTTCAAGCAAAACCTTGATAGAAGTTAGAATTCATGCGTTGGGCATTGGATCGGTTAGGCCCCAGTAGTGGCCTAATGATCTACGAGCTTGCTAGCCTTGTAACTAGAAGGTCCTTGGTTCCAACTCCTCTGTGGTGGTGGGTGTGTACTGTTGAAGAGTAGGCTGACGAAATACCTGGCGGTCCAGTCCTCTCTGGTGGTTTTCCAATGGTCCTCTAATCTATATCAGCTCATGATGAAATCATACAACTAAACAAACAAAAATTATCAATGTATGCATACAATAGTGAGGGAGTTATGCCATTAAAGCCGAGAGGTTAACACCTAAAGATTACGTAATCAAATGGGGGAGGGAGGGAAAGAGAGAATGAAGATATCCAGTTACCCCAGGCCAAGGAATAAAAACTGACTGATAACTACTTTTTTTCCGAACACACACACAAATAAATCGGGTTTCAAGCGTTTGATGGCGATTGCTTCAGCAAACTTGAGGAGTGTTGAGCTATTTTGGTGTATTGATAATTTTGGAAGATTCTATGATGTCCACATCTCATGACCCGTATCAAAGAGTTGTCTGTCAATGGCAATGCTGCAAGCGTTTGTCCTCTTGATATTTAGGCTTTTTGGAACATGTTGAAAAAATCAGAATTATGCCCTTCTTTCTGTTCTCCCAATAGTACCATTTATCAGGCATCTTAATTTTGATCTCCCATACTCTATCTCCCCTTATCTATTTGAACATGACCTGGAAAAGATTCTCACTTGTCGTCTTTCTGCATGACTAATTCAATGTAGTTTGTTTACTTATCAGTCTTGTACCTCCCAATGTAATTTCAAAAGTGTATATGTATCCGTGTATGTAGAGTATTCAGCAGCTGAAGAGTTCTACCGAAATTTGACGAATCCATCATTAAATCATCCTGTTTTATTAACCTTTACTGCTTGTTTTAAATTCGGAATCGGGAAATAAATGTTTTCAATTCAACGTAGAACTTTATACACCGAGATGTGCACTAGTGCGAGTCGCTACACTTCACTTCGCACAGAAAGCAAAAGAATATAGTAAAAAACTAAATGCGAAAATTCTATTTTTTTCAAATTTCTGATTACACCTTGATTCCACAGTGTATTATTGGTATAAGTATGGAATTTTCAAAATGTTGTGTGACAGTTACATTGGGCGTACTATTAGACAGTTTAGCCAGCGTGTTGTCACTGAATATCTCGCATCATTGTGGTGTAGAGAAGGAGACAGATGAAAACAGTCCGTAGTTTTTTCTTTTTGTCACATTTAGTTGACAGTGCTTGTGTGTAGTGGAGAAAACGAAAGCAGTCAAGTTGATTGATTCATTGTATCCCACCGACTCTGTATTCGTCTACCGCATATATATGGCGCTTGAGGCAATAGGTGTGTTTGAACTATTAAACCTAAGCTATGCGCATTCAAACACAAGTTCGTACAGTCATTATCCCTCTCCTGGCTTATTGAGACCTAATCAACAGATAGAGTCACCAACCACCCATTACTAATATTTTCAAACCTTCTCTTATCATCTTTTAATCTTATCACATCTTCACTAAAAACGTGTTTCATTTACCTCTCTTACAATCTAGCATTACTACTTAATCGGCTTATCTGTTTTTTACTGGCCTTTATCGACATTTGTTTGTCTAATCATGCTGTTTTTCAGTATTCTTGTTATCTAGTTTTGATCACGGATCGATAATTCAGTTACAGAACCACTGAAAACCTGTACTGGGCGTCATCGAAAGTACACGTACACTGCCAGAGTTTGAACCCAGGACCTTTCGGTTACAAGAAAAGCCTGTAGATCATCCAATCAGTCACTGGGATCCGGCTCAACGGCTAGCCCATAAATGCTAACTCGCTAATGACTCGGTATAGAATAAAGTTGGCTGGGGTTTTCCATTGAGAAGTCGGAATTGAGGACAAAATACTCGTCTCCAGTGACATCTATTAGTGGGTGGTGCCACTCATGCTAAATACATCCTGAATTGTGGTAGGAGTTAGAATTCATGGGAGAGGGGTGGTCGTAGAGTCAGATCAGTCGCACTAACTGGTTGGTCTACTTGCTTACCAGTTAGCCAGAAGGTCCTGAGTTGGATCACTGATAGGGTCGAGTGTGTGTGTGTGTATTTCCGATTAGCTCCAAACTAAGGTGACAAAACAGCATGCTGCCCAGTACTCCCTGTTTTTCAATGACCATATACCTTCATTTCTGTATATCTGTTGAACTGTAGACTGTTGACGAGTTCCATTGCCCTGTCAGAATTCTTTGTTACTGTAGTATCAAGCGTAGGGTGGGGTTGTTGGCGGAAGTCTTCAACGAAACACTGTTGGAAGCGCTCTTCAATGGGGCATTTATGCATCATATCACTGATCCATATAAAGCGGTACTGACTTTTTCTTTATCCTTTTGCACACTGATTTATAAACGCTTGTCTCGCTTGCTTTGACGATTATTCTGACTAAATTTTGACGTCTTCCTCTTTTTTTTTCACCGCATCCTAGTGAATCAATCAGTCCATTTGTTTTTCTTAGCCTCTATCGACTACTCCTTTCACCTGAACATCTTTGCTGTTTTTTCTGGTTATTCTTGTTGTCACAGATCGCCTCACTTTTTCATCCTTATTATTACTGATAGAACCATTATTATTATTATTATTAATTGCACAATTTATGTGCACAGTCTTATTATACCATTGACAAAATACCATAACTGGTTTATATTTGAATTTTTATTTATAAAGTTGCGTAGGCATATCAAAGTTAAGTCTATTGAGATCTAATTGAAAACAGAAATATTTTTCGTTTAAGGGTGTTGTTGTTCTACATATTCTATATGGATACTATTTTCTCTGTATTCCTTCACGTTTCCAGTGGATCATAGGGTTTCAAGGTGGAGGCTTGAAGTTTCTGTAGCGGGGGTGGTTATTCTTACAGCATGGGGTTGCTAGCCGCCTCATACCAAACCTTTCCATATATTATGCCATTTATAGGTGAAACTAGTAGAACAGAGACAGTCAGACTAGCCGAGCATAAAAACCTACCAAAATCTACATTAGTTGACTCGAATAAGATGAGAAATCTAGAGAATAGTTCAGCTATACCGCTCACTGCATGCAATTACACACAACCATGCAATAGGATGGGATAAGATGACAGTTCTAATGTCACAGGGTGAATGGAGGGAGAGATTGATGACAGAAGCTGTATTTATCGAATCAATTGCAAATACATGTAAGAGGAATGATTCATCATCTGTCCCTGATATCTGGAAAATTCCACTACCCCAACGACGATAAATAGGAGATGACAAAGAAAACTATAAAACTCAAGTTGCAAAGTCGGGTGATTACAATTGATATGATTATGAACAATACATTTTGTTCGAAACCTCGCCATCCAGTAAATAATACTGTTTCTGCGACTGTGTGATACATCTAATAAGCAAACTAATATGGAATTACAAACCTTCCTTCTTTACTAGCTTTATTACTGGCTTAGAGAGGTAAAGGAGTACACCTGTGGCTGGGGATCGAACGGCGGACCACATGAGGTGTGGTTGGTGAGCACTCTACACCGCTGTGCCACCGACGCCTATATGGATACTATACTATATTCTATATGGATGACTGTGAGGTCATAGGTGAAACTAGTATATCACGAGTAGTCAGATTGTCGGAGTATAAGAATTTATTTAGTTAAGGTTAGAATGATTGATCCCGCGAAGATAAGTAATTTAAAATGAACAACTCAGCGATCGGACTGCATGCATTAACACACAATACGGTGGGAGAGGAGGATCAAAATTCTAAGAAGTAATATAAATAGGTGGAAAAACGAGAGGGGTTGATTATTACTTACTGAATCCTTGTTCATCGAATCTAAACCAACCCAACACCGGGCAATACGAGAATGACTCATCCACTCATGCCGGAAATATGGAAAATACCACTCCCAATCAAGTCAAGCGATGAAAACTAGTGTGATGGAATTATATAAACGAAGATAGAAAACCTGTGTGACTAGTGCCTTAATATGCTGGCAATGAGCAGGAATAAATTTTTGCTCGAAACGTCGTCGTCAGTAAATATTACTTACTGCACAAGTTCTATTCTTCTTATATCAATGATTCTATATATGGATAATCAATTTCGTGTTTTATTTTTAATTTTGTTCTTTTTTTATATTTGTTCTTTCTCTTAACAGACAGTTATTTTATCTTTATTATATCGTGTGATGCGACCGAAACATGTGATTATATTTGGTTTAATCTTTGAAGCAATCCAATTAACACTTTACGGTTTCGCTACAAATCCAGTATTATTATGGTTAGCTGGTATAATCGCTGCTATGGGGTCAATCACTTATCCGGCATTAGGTGCATTCATATCAAATCATACAGCAGCTGACCAACAAGGTGTTGGACAGGTAAGTCAGTCATATGTTGTCGTCTTCTTCTTCTTCTTTATTTGTCTGTGTGTTGATCTTATCACGTGTGTGTGTGTGAGAGAGAGAGAGAGTGGGTGGGGTCAACTCCTAACTTAGTGATAGGGAGTGAAGTGATAGAACATGTTGACCACTTCACCTATTTGGGAAGTTGTATTAGCCAGCGCCAACGGACTGATTGGCGACGAAATCTCACCACGGATCCAAAAAGCTCGAGCTGCTGCTCCAGCTGACTTACACCATCTCTGGCGTAGACGTGACATCCGGTTATCAACCAAGGGACGTGTGTACTGCTCATCAGTTCTCTCCGTCCTTGTCTATGGCTCTGAAACATGGCCAATACGAGTAGAAGACATGAAAAGGTTGACTGCTTTCGATCATAGATGTCTGCGATCTCTGTCTCACGTTAGGTGGTATAATAAATAAGGTAAGTAATGTTGACGTTAGGCGTAGAGTGTTGGGCAGAGAGGGAAAATCAATCGACGAGGCTATAAAGTTACATAGATTGAGATGGCTAGGTCAGGTGGTGTGCATGCCTAACCATCGCCTCCCCCACCCGACGGGCATTGCTAGCTGATATAGGTGGTGCAGGTTGGAAAAGAGTAAGTGGTGGCCAAACAAAAACATGGCCTCATCAATCCATGAAATAAATCCTTGACAGTTAAACTGAGTCGGTCAGGTAGGGAGATGAAGACTTTCGTCCGAGTTGGGGCCCTCGGGACTGACTCTAGGAATCAATGGCTGGAGACAATAGGTGGTGACATGGCTGAAAATCGTTGTCAATGGCCAGAGCTCAGATGTATTCAGTCTCTGTAATCTTTCATATTCCTCCTTTCTACCATCACCCATTCTGTTTCGCTCTTATACTTGTCAAACTCTATTGATTTTCTTCACTCATCTTCTTGTCTACCTTTGTGTGGTATTTAGAAGGTGGCAACTGGAACTGGTGCACTTCGGTGGCAAGTTCTATGTTGAATCCAGACAGCCAGACAGAGGTGGGTGGGAGTTGTGAGTACGTGACTATATCTCGGTATAACTATAAGGTGAGGTGGATGTGGAGCTGCATAGATTAAGCTGTCTAGGACGTGCATTTCGATGGGCAGCAGTAAAGAATAGGCCCCGGAGTCAAATTGTAACAACAGAAGACAGGGGCCAGGCAACAGATCATTTATTAAAGAAATCAATACATATTTATAGATTTTCATGTACATTATTATAGATTATTGTTAGCAGAAAAACAGTCCTCTGATTAGTTGTTTCTCACTGAAATTCAACCTTTTGCATTTCTTTGTGGCTGTTTCTGGAATGTTAGATCATCTATGTGATGTTAACTGTATCCGCTTACGCTTAGCCTTTGTTCTTGTTTTTCTCACGACCAATATTGGGGACATAAACATTGACGTAAATTACTGTCCACCATTTTTGACTTACAGCCAGTTCTTACTACAAAATGACCGTTAGCCAACCAATCAATCAATCTTTAGATCGCTTAGCATTGCAAATAGATGCTTTTCTTATAATCCTCTTCGCTGCAAGTTTCATCCTGATTCAGGGGATTGAGGTTAGGATAGGATTAAGCCACGGGGTTATGATTACCTGTCAGGTAGGTAGGTGATCGATCCACAGCGGAAAACTCAGTGAAGCGTTTAAAGTGAATATAGGAGAGTAAGACAAGGCTGTCTGCTGATAATAATAATAATAATAATAATAATAATAATGATAAAAGTCTGTGAACCAAACGCTATTCTAAATGAGCCTCACCAATTAAAAGGAGATTGATTATCGAGTAAAATGTTGCGTGCGTGCGTGCGTGTGTGTGTAATGTATCCTGACTACCTGGGGATGTGTAATCTTTTTTATATGAAAGCACAACTATCGCATCTTGGAGGAGATCGACTCACACTGCATTAGATCATCTTTGGCTGCTATCGGTGACATCATGATAGCCACTCGCTCAGTGCAGTGTGCTGTTCTTGGTTGTCATCTCGTGCATTGATGTTTCTGTAGCAGTCTGATTGATTTCTCAGAGTAGCACCGTGCTAGCCGCACACCTAACCCTCCCTCTTCACCTGGGCTTGGGAAAAGCTAGAAAACCAGCAAGCTAGTAAGCAAGACGTGGTGTTGAAGCTTTATGATCCACTTGGAACCTAAGGGAACAATAATAATAATAATATAATACAGCTACTGAACCCTTTGATAGTCTGTTGAAATCACTAAGGCATGGTGCTTATCATTGAATCTGTAGTCAATAAAAAGGGGGACTCTACTATTTAGTTAGTTGATACATCCAGGGGGAGGCTATTATATAGGTCATCTTTGTGTGGCTGGCTGCTCCACAGGATGAGACTATGTCTGTTATGTATGTACACATACTAAAAGGATGAGTGTCCTCGCTTCTCCTGAAAACCACTGTAAATTTACTCAATCCATAGGTGGTGGTGGTGGTGGTGGTATAGAGATGTGGCATACTGGCTTCAATCCTCAACTTTTAGCCTTAAGGTCTCTGGTTCGAATCCCTCTCCACCTATTTTGATTTGGCCTATCACACAATATCAGTGTTGCTCATAGCCTTGATACATGGAGAATGTATTCCACTCATATCTGAGTTGGTATATAAGATTATACGCGAATTATATTTGATCAGAATATTGAGGAGGACAACAAGAAGAATAGGTTGTACTGTGTGTGCTATACCCGTTCCTTATTCTGATGAAATCAATAAATCGGCGAATCAATTATTTCTTTTTCCTATGTTTTCTTTCTCACACTTGATGAATGTCCTCTTTTTCGGTGTTGATTGATTTCTTCCGACTGTGTAAGTGTGTGCGTGTGCGTGCGTGTTTGCGCTTCTGTTCTCTTTCTTCTCTCCTAAAGTTTAGTGTGTTTCTTCTCCTATATAATTACAACATGTTGAAAGCCGAAGTTTATAAGATACTGGCACAGGGAAATAGGGCCAATTAGTATGCAGCGTTATAATAATAATAATAATAATAATCTACTTTATTCCAAAAACAGTACTTATAATACAGAATGGAATTCTCAGCATTTGTCACAATATTGCATCTGTATGACGAAATCTCAGCACGAATACAAGGGGCTCGTTTCGCATTTGCTAGTTTACACCGACTCTGGCGTAGACGAGATGTTCGACTACCGACCAAAGGGCGGGTGTACTGCTCATCAGTCCGCTCCGTCCTCATTTATGGTTGTGAGACCTGGCCACTGAAAGTGGAAGACATGAAAAGACTGGCTAGCTGTCTTTGATCATAGGTGCCTGCGCTCTATTTCCCGTGTAAAGTGGCATAATAAGGTGAGCAACATTGAGGTTAGGCATCGGTCGAGATCTAGGTAAACAGGGAAATCAATCGACCAGGCTGTGAAGTTACAAAGACTGAGATGGTTAGGACATGTGTTACGTAGGCATGCCTAGTCATCGCCTTCCTCGACAACAGGCAATGTTAGCGGATATAGGGTCAGGCTGGAAAAAAGCTAGCGGAGGTCAAACAAAAACATGACTTCATCAGTTAATGAAATCCACAACAGTTAGTTTAAGCCAGCCGCTTAGGAAGGTGTAGACTTCCAGGCTGGGGTCCTCGGGACGGTAAAACTCTATGGTTGGAAACAATTGGTGACATGGGTTAAAATCGTTCTCAGTGGCTAACGCAGATGCATCCACTCCTTGTGACTTATGATTTCCAATGAAACTGTTTTGTTTTTCTTTATTACTCCTTTGTTTCACACCTCTGCTCACTGTTTCTATTATGCTTTTCTTGTACTTTCTTCTCTTGCTTCGCGTGCTACACGGAATGTGGCGACTTGAACTTCCGCACATTTGTGCAGAGTTCTATGTCGAAAACAGACAGATGAGCACGTTATAATAATAATAATCTACTTTATTCCAAAAACAGTACTTATAATACAGAATGGAATTCTCAGCATTTGTCACAATATTCCATCTGATTTGCTCAAAATATAAATAAAATTAAAAGTATTAAAACAAAGTTAACCAGAGGAATTTGTCCACATTTGCCATATAAAGTCAAAAATATTCGAAGCACGAATTGAGATCATTAAATATAATAATAATAATAATAATAATAATAATAATAATAATAATATAACAGTGAGTTTGTTTCAGACACTATTGTCGATTCAGTTCGAAATTTTAGCATGTTATAGATTATTGGATCTAATGAATGTGCTGTTGATATAGCAGCATGGTGAGGGGAAATACAAAATTAACAGTTATTCACACAGCTTAAATGATCTTCACACTTATGAAAAAAATAAACAAAAACAAAAGAATTGAGAGGATTATAAATATAAGAAATACAATAACAATAAAATTTGATGTTGTAAGGGTGGAGGAAATGGTTTATTTAGAAGTGCAAAGAAGGTTAGTTAGCTAGTTAGTTCATGCCTGACACTATTTTCATCACATAAAGTACGTGCCGTCAAATATAGTATAGTGGAATTTTTATACTTAGGCGTACGTGCATAAAGTCTTCTGAAAAGACTTCTTGTTTTACCTGAGGAGACAAAAAGTTGGAGCTGCGGGTAGAGTGGGTGCTCAGAGTCTTACAAAATTCCTTTAGCAAATTTTTTGCATGAAATCAAGTACCTATCAGTGACAATGTCAACGATATCTCCCAATGGGATACTACCACTCGCCCTACTGACCGACAACAGTCTTCAGAGTTCTACGAAGTGTGAAATAGTCTTTTTTAAGCAATCCAGGAAAGAATAACCAAGGGTGAACATTAAAGGAGAATAGGCAAGATGCACGAGCTGACAAACTGTAAGAGGAGGAGTGGTTGAGTTATGCCTGATTGCCTTAGCTTCTTAATGTAAAAAGTCAGACGAAATATTCTTTTAGAAATCGCTAAGACATGGGAAGATCAGGATAGGTAAGAAGATAGGATGAATCCAAGATACTTAACTTCAGACTTGGTTTCTATATCAGTATCATCAATTTTGCAAGC